AGGGCCCCCCCCGGCTCACCTGCGCACCGTGCGGGTTCCAGACGTGGGGAGTGGACATGCAGCGAGTGGGGGGGGAGGTGGGAGAAGCCAGAGTAGCGGGGACCCCGGGGCTCGGGGGGCATCAAACAGGCTTCCTCCAATCATGGGCCTTATTGTTACTGAGGTCAGCTGATGCCATAATTGGAGGTGGAGGTGGAGAGTGCGCAGATGCAACAGGGACTGGAGTGTTCTGAGCCCATAAAGATGTCAAAAAATAAAAAGATAAATACTGGTAAACGATTATCTTACTCTGCAAAATGGGACGCCCGCTTCCTATCCGGGTGGTGGCTGCCCACCCTGCCCGGACGCCCTGAGGCCCGTGCGGAACTTGTGCACCTCCTAGTCCCCCTTTCACACTCGAGAGAGAAGACAGCGTCGCCTAAACCAGCGTAACCGACCTCAAGAGGTCACAGGTCAGAGGGGAACGGCCCAGGGAGGCCAGGCCCAGGGAGGCACGGCCCCAGGACCAGGAGCAGAACCAGGGGCCCCAGGGGGCCGACGAGCTGTCTCCCCAATAAGCCTGTCTGTTCTGCCTTCTCTCGGACCCAGACAGGTGCACCCGCCTGGGGCCCCCAGCAGCCCGCCCACCTGTTCCCCCCGCAGCCCACCTGCTCCGGAGAGCTCGCGGGGGGTGGAGGGTGCGGGGGGCCGGGCCTGAACCCCAGAGCCACCTGCCTGCCGGAGGCCTCACTCACCCACAGGCAGGACATTGGTGCTCAGGAAAGGTCGCTGGCTCCCCAGGGGGGGCCCTGGGTCCCCGGGTGGGGGAGCCATGGCGCTGAGAGGTGGGGTGACCTGGGTCACAGCTGGGGTGCGCTGTCAGCAGGAGGCTGGAAGAGGCTGCTCCGAGGTCCCTCTATCCCGGGGTCCCCGCTGGGATGGAGTCTGCAGCTCATGACACCTGGCAGGAGGGGGGGTGTCTGTCAGGGGCTGAGCTCCCTCGGCCAGGGACTCGCTCCTCTTAAGCCGTGCC